CCTAGACCCTTAGCCCTAAACCCTAAACCCTAAACCCTAAACCCTGACCCTAGACCCTTAAACCCTAAACCCTAAACCGTACACCCTAAACCCTATAAGACTTGGACACGGAAGCCCTCAAACCCGAATCGCCACAGCACAGGGAGCCAAAGTGCTCAAATGCAGATCTTGCTTTGAGAAACCGTAAGGTTGAGGGTTTAGGGTTTAGGGTTTCTGGTTTAGGGTTGAGGGTTGGCGAGGGGTTTAGGGTTGAGGAGTTTTGTCCGCGTGTCTGTCGTACCCTGAGGGTCCATGTACCCAACTAGTAAATACTTAGACCTTAATGTAGTCCCTATATAGGTACTTTAGGGTCAAAGTATACTCATACGGATACATGGACCCTTAGGGGTACCTTCTCATTGATGCCTCAAGGAACTTCATTTTACTGTACGCAGTGCATTAGGCAGTTAGGTCCATTCCCAAGCCGTTTTGACCCCGAAAGTTTAAGACCCGAAGCTCGTTTAAGCGTTTAAGCGACAAGACCCCATCAATCCTTCACCCTAAATCCTATACCCCTAAACTTGTATTGCTAAGCCTGAAGCTTCGAAGGCTACAAGCCCAAAGCCCCTTAACGAGCCCTTGATAGAACCCCCTGTAACCCCCTACTTGGAGGGTCGGGGGTCTAAATCACTGCTTATGACTTCCCGCGACCCTCCAAGTCCTCCCTACATCCTTATAGTTTAGGGTTTAGGGTTTAGGGTTTAGGGTTTAGGGTTATATGGTACCCTTGTGGCACCCTAAACCTTAAACCCCTCCTTCCGCCCCCTGATATGAGCGCCAAGCTGTCCGTTTCCATGTCTGGGAACCGAGGAGCGGAGATGTGCTGACGTTGCTTTCCTTGGGGCAAGTGCAGGAGCGAAGTTGCCCAAAGGGTCCAGAGGACCGAAACGTTAGGTTTAGGGTTTACCAGCAACCCCCCAAGTGACCTTTAATGGAGCCCTTCTGGTCCCAAATAGTGGTTTAGGGTTCAGGGTTTAGGGTTTGGGGTTTAAGGACTTCAGGGTTAAGTGTTTAGGGTTTAAGAACTTCAGGGTTTAGGGTTTAGGGTTCCTGAAGGGCCAAAAGATTAAAAGTCCGGGCCCTATACCCTCATACTATGAATCCCTACCTTAAACCCTTTTGGGGTTCATTTCGTCTTTAAG